GGGATTGCGGCGATCTCCGTGAGAGGGGATTGCGGCGATCTCCGTGAGAGGGGATTACGGCGATCTCCGTGAGAGGGGATTACGGCGATCTCCGTGAGAGGGGATTACGGTGATCTCCGTGAGAGGGGATTACAGTGCATTACTAAGGGGCTTAGTGCAGGAAGCAGGGGGAAGAGGTTCCTTCTAGCCTTTACCTCCTCCGACATGACATGCGTGTTCTCTCTCAGCTCATTTCCTGCACTTCTCAGCTCTTCATATTTGGGTCTTTGCTTGTCAATCTCACATTTATACTCATCGTGATGTTTACAGAGCTGCTCTGTTCCCAAGATGCCCCTGGCCTGTTCCTCCGAGTCCAGCAGTGTGTCCATCTCATTCACCCAGGCCCTGTGGAAGCAGGAAGATCATAGAATCACAGAATCCCTTCAGTGTGGAAACAGGCCATTCAGCCCATCTAGACCCTCTGAAAAGCATCCTGCCCAGACCCACTCCCTACCCTATCTCTGTAACCGTGTATTTCCCATGGCCAATCCACATAACCTGCACAACTTTGGACTGTGGGAGGAAACCAGAGCACCCATAGGAAACCCACGCAGACACGGGGAGAACGTGCAAACTCCACACAGACAGTCGTCCGAGGGTGGAATCAAACCCGGGTCCCTGGCGCTGTGAGGCAGCGGTGCTGACCACTGAGCCACCGGCACACCCGTGGTGGTTTTGGAGAGTAGGTTAATGCTCTCGATGCCTGGAGCTGTGGCCGATGCTCCAGGCACTGGTTTTACTCGAGCATGAGGCCTGTAGATCCACATTCAGCTGGTGTATTATGTGCTGTGGTGTCTATCACTGCCTCTCACAGCTGGACAGGATGGGTAGTCATTTAGTGCAGTACCACCTCTCTTCAGCTTAGTCCTGGTGGATCTTTCTTAACCCTAACCCCCCACAGTCCCCACCCTCATGGGGTCGATGCTGCTCCCATTTTTACATCCAAATAACACATTTCTGCCACATTGTTCCTCGATCAGTTATCTGCCTCACGAACTGTTGGTTCTCTCTCCTGTTCCTCTTGTCACAAATATCCCTTGCTGCTTATCAGCATCTCAAACCCAATCTTCCACCTCAGCTCCCTGTTGACCTGCAGACCCTCGACCCTGTTACCACTGTCTCCCCACCCCCCAACCAATCTTTCCAGCTGATCTCTGCCCACAGTACACACGTCAGTGCAGGGATTCTCTCTTGGGTCTCACGTCTGCATTCATCTCTCACCTTGCTGCCCACCTCAACTTTCTCCTGATGATAAAATTATTTTGAAAGAAGTACAGCTAAATAAAGTTTTGTTTAAAAAAAAGAAAACATTGAAATGCCCAGGCTGTGTCAGGTTATCAATGTTGGTGAGAGGAACACAAAGGCAAATTATCGAAATGGAGACAAATTTCACAGTGCATCTGGGTGTGCTCATGCATGAGTCACAGAAAACTAGTATGCAGATAGAGCAGGTAATAAGGAAGGCAAATGGAATTTATAGTTAAAGGAATAGAGTCTAAAAGTAGCAAAGTGTTGCTTGCAACTGTACAAAGCATTAATGAGACCACACCTGGACGATTGCAAAAAGCCTTAGTTCCCTTACTTGGGGAAGGCTGTAGATGTACTGGAGGCAGTTCAGAAGAGGTTCACTAGATTGATTCCAGAGATGAGGGCTTTGTCTTACAAGGACAGGCTGAGCAGTTTAGATCTGTACGGTCTCAGGTTTAGAAGAATGAGAGGAGATGTAATATAAGATGCTAAAGGGGATTGACAAAGTAGGCATAGAGAGGGCGTTTCCTCATGTGGGGCAATCTAGAACGAGAGGTAATAGTTTTAGGAAAAGGGTGAGCAGATCTCAAACAGAGATGAGGAAAAATTACTTCTCTCAAAGGGTTGCGAATCTGAGGGATTCACTATCCCAGAGTGTGGTGGTGCTGGGGCACTGAATAAATCTGAAGAAGAAATAGATTTATAATTAGTAACGGGTTGAAGGGCGACGGGGAGCGGGCTCTCATTAAGTTTTAACTCGGTACAGTCAGTGAAGTGCCCCACGCTGTCCAAAGACCCAGCTCTCACTCACAGGAAAACCCGACAGTTGCTCACGTAGGCCTGGACGCGCTCAGCTTGCAGTAGCCTCTCCTTGTACTCTCCGGCTTTCCGATACAGGTTATCCCAAGACTCGGCCACCTCCTCCAGCCGTTCCTGCAGGTTGTCCCTGACATGCGGATACGCCAAACCCAGCATCCGAGCTTCTCCGCCAATACGGTCAACTTCCCGGTTTATGGCTCCCAGCTCCCTCTGGAAGGAACACAATTATTGTTTAATTAAGTAAGTGAGAACACTTACTTCTTATTTCTTATTGGAAGGTAACAGCTACTCCATACCTATAGCCATTCTGAGTGGAATCACCCAGTGCTGATCCTGAATTTTGTTGGGAATTCCCACCCAACCTTGGTGAAGCCCATGGGAATGTGCCCCCACCTCTCTGAGACCGTGTCCCTCTGGGACTGTGCCACCCAATGGAGCCCTGCTCACCACCAACCCCACCTCAGTCTGCTGGCCTGCTCTCCACATGTGGAGTGGCAGACCCTTCTCCTATTCCTAAAGGGCAATAGGCCCGTCCCAGCAGATGGTTGCCTCTATAAAGGATAACACACCATCCCCCTCCCCCAGCCATAGCAGACAGCCCCTACAGCCAAGTGTCCCACTGATAAAGTGCCCTCTTTGCAGTGTGACCCCACCCAGGAGTGACCTCCCAAGGATTGTTACCCCACTGGTGGAATCATCTCCCGGGGGAGTGACCCCACTGGTGGA